TGTTATTGATGTATAGGAATGCTATTGATTTTTTTGTGTTGATTTTGTATCCTGTCACTGTACTGAATTCACTGATTAGTTCTATTCATTTTTTGGTGGAGTCTTCAGGGTTTTCTATGTATGTGATCATGTCATCTGCAAATAGGGACAGTTTGACTTCCTCTTTTCCACTGTGGAGGCCCTTTATTGTTTCCTCTTCCGTGTTGCACTGGCTAGAACTTCCTGTTCTGTGTTGAGTAAGAGCAGGGGAAGTGGGCATCACTGCCTTGTTCCAGATCTTAGAGGAAAAGCCTCCAGTTTTTCTCCATTCAGTATGATGTTTAGCTGTGGGTTTGTCATATATGGCCTTTATTGTGTTGAGGTACATTCCTTTTATATCAAATTTGTTGAGTGTTTTATCATGAGGAGTTGTGTTCGATTTTATCAAATGGTTTTTCTTCATCTATTGAAATGATCATATGTTCATTCCCTTCATTCTGTTGATGTGGTGCATCAAGTTTATTGATCTGCGTATGTGAACCATCCTTACATCCCTGGGATGAATCCCACTTGATTATGGTGAATGATCTTTCTAATGAGTTGTTGGGTTCAGTTTTCTAGTATTTTGTTGAGGATTTTCACATCTGTTTTCATTACAGAAAATGGTCTGTGATTTTCCTTTTTCGTTGTGTCTTTTTTTCTGGTTTTGGTATGAGGGTGATGCTGGCTTCACAGAATGAGTTTGGAAGTATTCCCTCTTCAATGTTTTGGAAAAGTTTGTGAAGAATTGGTATTATTTCTTTAAATGTTTGGTAAGATTTGTCAGTGAAGCCATCTGGTCTTGGGGTTTTCTTTGTTAGGAGGCTTTACATTACTGCTTCAATCTCATTTCTCATCGATCTATAGATTTTCTAGTTCCTCATGATTCATCCTTGGTAAGGTGTATGTGTTCAGAAATGTATCCATTTCTTTTAGGTTTTCTGGTTTGTTCACATACAGTTGCTTGTAGAAGTCTCTTATGATCCTTTGTATTTCTGTGGTATCAATTGTAATGTCTCCTTTTTCATTTCTGATTTTATTTATTTGAGTCCTCTTTTTTTATTCACTTGTCTAGCTAAAGGTTTATCTATTTTATCTTTCCAAAAAACCAATTCTTTGTTTCATTGAACTTTTGTATTTTTTTTTAAATCTCTAATTCATTTATTTCTGCTCTGAGCTTTGTTATTTCTCTCCTTCTGCTGATTTTGTGTTTTTGTTTTTCTAGTTCCTTGAGGTGCAACATTAGGATATTTGAAGTCTTTCTTTCTTCTTTTCTGATGTAGCTACTTATTGTTATAAACTTCCCTCTTAGAACTGCTTTCACTGTATCCCATAAGTTCTAGTATGTTGTGCTTTCATTTTCATTTGTCTCCAGGAATTTTTTAACTTACTTTTTGATTTCTTCTTTGACCCATTCATTGTTTAGAAGCATATTGTTTAATTTACATGTATTTGTACAGTTTCCAGTGTCCCTTTTGTTGTTGATTTCTAGTTTTATTCTGTTGTGGTCAGACAAGATAGTTGATATGATTTCAGTTTTTAAAAATTTGTTGAGATTTGTTTTGTGATGTAACATATGGTCTAGTCTAGATAATGTTCCATGTGCCACTGAGAAGAATGTATATTCTGCAGTTGTTGGATGAAATATTCTATAAACATTCATTAGATCCAATTGACCTATAGTAGAGATTAATTCTGATGTTTCTTGGTTAATTTTCTGTTGGGATGATATGTCCTTTGCTGAAAGTGGGGTATTTAAGGCCCTCAACTATTATTGGTTGGAGTTTATCTCTCCCATTAGGTGTGATAGTAATTGCTTTACATATCTGAGTATTCTGGTGTTGGGTACATGTATGTTTAGAATTGTTATATCCTCTTGTTGAATTAAGCCCTTTATCATTGCATATTGACTTTCTGTATCTTTTTTTACTTTCCTTGGCTTGAAGTCTATTTTATCCAGTATAAGAATAGCTGCTCCTGCTCTTTGTAGGTTTCCATTTGCATGAAATATCTCTTTCCATCCCTTCATTTACAGCCAGAGTGTGTCTTTGTTGGTTAAATGAGTTTCTTTTAGGCAGTATTTTCTTGGTTCTTGTTTTATAATCCATTCAGCCACTCTCTGTCTTTTAACTGGGGCATTTAATTCATTTACACTTAGCATTATTACTGATATATAGGGACTCGTTACTGCCATTTTGTTACTTTTTTTCTGGTTGTTTTGCAGATCCTTTTATCCTTTTTTTCTGGTCTCATTGTCTTCCTTTGTGGTTGAGTGGTTTTTTCTAGTAGTATATTTTTATTTCTTGCTATTTATTTTTAGTATGTCTCTTATAAAGTTTTGGCATTATGGTTACCATGAGGTTTGTAAAAATCACATTATAGTTATAACTTGCTATCTTGTTATGATCTGATCTGATAAGTAGGAAACGCTCATGACATTTTTGATGATCAGATTGCCCTCGTTCATAGAGCAATAATTATCATCTTGTCATGTTTTATGTTGTCTCCAAAGGTCATTAAAACCAGGTTATATTTTTGCAACAGACAAGCTATTTAATTCTATTAGCTTCCTGATTCTGGATATATGAGTTCTATGGCTTGGACAATCAGGCGTTTCCATCTTTAGAAAGTTTCTATAGTTCTACGCCTAGAACTGAGTATGAACGGCCAGAGCCATTATCTTTATATTTTATCCACCTTTGCCAGCATTAATACCGTATTATTTTGGCAGTAACTTTCTTCCTGAGAGCCATGAAAATGAGTAACAGTCTTCCTGAAAAAGTATGTTTTCTTATTTAAAATAATTTTTCCCCAATCCTCAACCTCCATTTACAAAGACCCCACCACCACCATCATGAGACAGCATATTTTCTGTTTCTCTTACCCCAGAAAAACCTCCAAACCTAACATTAAAGGTAAGCATTCAAACAAAAAGGAAAAAAAAAAAGGTAAGCATTCAAAACAATGTTCTTAAACAAAGAGTAATTCAGACTTTACCTTCTGTTAATCGGAGAATAAGAGTGGAATCTAACCCAAAATTTTCAAGTGAGCCACCGCCTGTGTCAGAGTAAAAAGCTAGTTGGCTCAGATGTGAACGACTCTTCATTCGGGATGAAAAAGTAGACTTTTGGTAGAGTTTCATCCTGTGGTTTATAAATTTTTCCTGCCCAAGTGGAAAAGTTTAAAAGAATTTTTAATATACCAAAGTAATATTGTCTTAAAATAGTGATCATATATAAAAATGTCATTTTCAATAAGTCCTTTTCTCCCTTATAAGATCATTACTAATACCTTAAACAAGCCACCCCCAAGTTTTTTTTATTTGAAGGAATGTGTATAGTTTTCATTTCCTTTCCATATGAAGCTGAGAAAAACTACAAAAAACATTTAACTTTCACTAAACATGTACATCACAAATAGGTTACTGGAAAATGTCCTTCTGGCTTTATTTTCACAATCTTGTCTTTCCCCAAATGTAGGTAAATCTTGGAAATTCCACTGATTTGAAAGGGTTGGTTCTGTGAAACTGAAAACTTGAGAGGAAATGGACCTCCCTAGTAAATATAAAAAATTAGGCTTCTG